GTAGACGATATATTTTTGTTTTCAAACTGTCAGAAAAGTGAGAAGGAGGTGAAAGAAAAATTGTTATCTACTTTTGAATGTAGAGATTTGGGAGATCTGAAGCATTTTCTTGGCGTAACTGTAAGCAGGTGCATGGAAACAGTTGAAATGGGGTTGTCTAATCTCAATATTTATATAAAATTTTAAAGCAGTATGAGGTTGAAGAAATTAGCAAGGCGAGGCCCCAATGATAAATGGAATGTATTTGAAGAGAAATGATGGAACTAAAGCAGCTGTTCCTCATCAAAAACCTCATAGAATCTCTTATGTATGTGTGCATGGACCAGGCCGGAGATAACTCAAGCTGTAAATTATTCAAGTCAATTCAACAATAGTTTTGGAGAAGAGCACAGGAGTTCACTCTTGAAAATATTGTAATATCTCAATAGCACTAAAACGTATGGAATTTGTTTCTCTTTTGAAAAAAAATGTTATACCGAAAATTATGGTCTTGAGGGCTATTGTGATGATGACTGGGGAAATGACAAGGTTGATAGAAAGTCATACTCAGGATATCTGTTTTTCTTGGGACAGGGTCCAGTGTCCTGGCGGTCCAAGAAACAGGACTGTGTTGCAAAATCCAGCACGGAGGGAGAGTATGTATCTCTGAATAAGGCAGCGGATGAGCCACTGTACTTCAGAAATCTAATGGGAGAAATAACTAGAGAAAGGTGGCCTGTATTTATAAGTTGTGATAATGAGGGAGCTATATTTTTAAAATGGATTTTGAGTTTCGACCTTACTAGTTGGACTTTAAAATATTCAAGCACACTGCAATGCAAATTTTGTATACAGACGAAAGGAAACATGCATGCAGTGCGGTGCTGTTGACGACCTCAACCTCAAATGAGGAGGGTCACCACACGGTTTCGCGTTTGGCCGTTCGGGTCGGGGTGGTCGTTCGCGAGTTGTCCTAGTGCCCTGCCTGGTGCGAGATTCGCTGCTAAGGGTGATAGGTTGGCAGCATTGCATGGTAGCCGCCACGCCTACTTTTAAATGGGATTTGGAAGTCAGAAGTAGGGGAGGGTGGGGCAGTGTGTACAGTCACCTCGCGATAAGTGTCCGACGGCGGGACCGGCGCCAGACACATATCGAAGGGAGCTAAACGTTTAACACCCGTTGGGATCGTCTGGCTCGGAGCCTCGCGAGTCTGAGGAGCTCATTGTTCGGTGCGTCGCTGGGGACCCGCCCGATCCGTATATGCCCCGCCGACGCTCGATATAAGTTTCCGCGTGCTACTGCACGTTTTCAGGTAAGCCACGGCAAGCAAGGTGCTCGACGGCATTGCCGGCGCGCCTGGCCCGGGAAGATCCCAGACTCCGGTCCAGCAATGGTCGAGCCAGGGCTCCACGCACTTGATGACCCGTCAATCACACCGGCTTAGGGGAGTGGCGAGTGAACTTACAACATTTCTGAGCCGAGGGCCCGGACCTAAAACGGGCACTTATCGAGCGGACACTTATCGCGAGGTGACTGCAACAGAGGCAGTGTGTGTGTGACAGGGGCATTGTGTAACAGACATCCGTATTTCGAATATGGCACGTACGGAACCAACTGTGAATGTTTATAGTATGTGTTCTGAATGACTAAGGTCGTTTGCAATCGAGAACGCCTTGGCAAGGGAGTTGTGACGGCGGTGAGACGACGGCCAAGTCGGGCTCACCCGAGTTTTGGGCAATTTTCATCATATTACGGCATAATCTTTTTCGTTAAAGTCGTTGGGTTTCAAAATAAAAACGAACTAATGATTTTCTATCGAAATAGACACCTCAGCAACCTCGAGGGTTCGCGGTCTACGAGGCCACATAACAGAATGTGTACCGTGGGGCAGTGTGTAACCTGAACGTCTCGAGTAGTATGTAATGAGACGAATCGTCTCATTTGCTTATCAATGATGTGCCTGTGCCCTAACAGTCCCACTGAGGCAGAACTTTTTGTTTATTGTTCAAGTTCAGAAAATATATCCAAAATAAGTCCTAATTTGATGTTTTCAATTTAAAACTTGTAAAATTTTAAGAAAATTAGTGTGGATACAGAGTTCACGAAACGCAAGCGTGATTTTTCACACCAGGCGTGATTTTTCACGCTTCGTAAGCTTCACACAGCCAATCAGGAACCGACTTTCATTACGCCTGGCGTGAAAATCACGCCTAGCGCGAAAATCACGCCCGCATTTTGGGAACTCTGCATCCAAACTTACATTTGAACAATATAATAAGTTGACAAGAACTGTTGTTGTGTCAGCAGCTAATATACTTGAGCAAGGGGAAGCTGTTTATCCCTTTCTAGCTGTCTCCAGAGCTCAATCCTAGATGTGTTTCACACTGCCCTGGGGCGGGGCAGTGCGTAACAAATGCAGACCTTTGTTCAACAAGCTGTAGGGCATACGGGTATGCGCTTAGTAAAACAGCCGAGCAACTTTCATGTTTAGTAACTGGCTAATCTATTCCTTATCGCCCGATTTACCCAATTTTTTTTTTTCATTGTTTGACTTTTATAGCCAAATTCCAAAATCTGTTACACACTGCCCCACCCTCCCTTACAGACTTCGCTTTTAATACCTATCGTCGACTGGTGCTGACCGGTCGCGTTCGAAACGATTTTGCACGGCGGCGACTTGCTTTTATTCAAACGCGACCACTGAAAGCAGGGAGTAAAGATGCCGGGCTCATATAATTTTTGGATAGGGTTGTACAAAGCAACAGGTGATCGTTGCTACTGGTCAAATTTTCCCGCGGAAATTTGTGATTGACTAAAATTTCCCTGGCTCGACTCGGCTTGCTGCTCAGCTCGTCATTACCATGGAAACTTGTGGTAGTAAAATGCTTTTCACGTTAACAAGCAGGCCCGCCCTTCCGCCAAACGAAGTTGCCAGCTTCGCTTCGCTGCGCCGGCAACTCCGTTCGGCAGGGGCCGGGCCTGCTTGGCCTGCCGGCGGCGATGGTCGGGCGGTCGGGCCTGCGGCCCGACCATTTCTGTCACGCGATTTGCTGTAGAAAATAATCAAATGATGTAACGGGCCTTCTGCCCGTAAACCCCGTCGTCCTTAAAATTTGCTCCGTAGACACGAGAAAGGGATGTAACGGTGAAACACCGCGACTACAACCCACCCTTCTGCTTAGAAAACGTTTTTTGGGCTTGGGGGAGGGAGTTTCTTACCTCTTTTGCGGTTCTGGGCCTTCTTTTACATTTAATTGTTCACTACAGCAATTTTTAACTTGTTTTCGTCAAACAAGACCCTGTAGCGCCTAAACGGTGAGAGATAGAGCAAAATGGACGAAATTTTCGCCCAAAGGGCTCTAATTTGACGAGTTACCCCTTAGGAGCTCATAAAAAAATATTTTTTTCTGACTTTTTTGACCTTCCCCGTTTTCTTTGATACCCCCTTTCAGCCCCTTAGGGTTGGTTGCTAGGATTTGCCGTAGGCGTTTCGTTTTCTAGGAGTGAACCTTAAGATACACTGAAAATTTGAAGTCTCTAGCACATCTCCATCTAGTGGAACAGACAGACAGACAGACACACAGACAGACACACAGACACGAGGTCGTTTGCATAAGCCCGCTGGATAGCTTTTTCAAAGCAGAAGGGTGGGCTAAAAATTGTACACACTCCGACAACGCTACTTATTTTCATGTTCACTGTAAAAAGCTTGCAAAGAACTATTCTTTGCATTGCAAAGAATTTTCAAGCGTTGTAAAAGGCTTTGCATTACGAACTAAATCCTTCGCATTGCGAACTACTAGTTCTTTGCACCTTATGAAGAAAATCGTTCGTAACGCTGCAAAGAATTAGTTCGTAACCTTGCAAACCACTTCTTCGCAACTTACGAAGAAATTAGTTTGCAATGCAAGGAAATTAGTTTGCACTGCAAACTTCCTTACAACGCTTAAAAATTCTTTGCAAGAATTTTGCAGTGTTTCATTTGTAAAAATAGATATAAATGGAAAGTACCGAGGGGGCCACCACTTCGATTGAGTATGTACACAGGATTACGTGATTACAGGGATTACACGTGAATTTTGAGAGATTACAAGTGAATTTTGTTGAATTTTAGGCTCTAAAACCATTAAATTTGGACAATGAGGTAAAATTTAGTGATAATGTTTTAAAATTTGGTCAAGGATTACACGGAATAGATAAGGATTACGTAGGGATTACACCCTCATCTCTGTACACAGGATTACACAAGTGGTGGCCCCCTCGGAAAGTACCATTGTTGTCTGTCAAAATTTACAGAAAACAATCTCCGTTGTCTTCCACGATGTGGTAAAATCGCATTTTTTTCATACGCACATTTTCTATTCGCATCCGATACCCCCCTGCGAGAAAGTCTTGGCCGAGCGACCGCTGCTGAACCAGGCTTGACCGCGAGCTACGGCTCTTAAGACAGCTTGGTCGGCGGGAGGAAAATTCAGTGGTCTATGATAGGTAGATCGGCAAACGAATGCTTCACCTATCGTTTGCCGTTTTCAGAAAATTTATGTTCTTAGACCACAATTTTTCCTAGCGCTTCAAACGTGCACGTGTTTCGCCCTTTAAAAATGCAACGGAGTCTTCCTTAGCAGCCTCCGGCCGACCAAGCCGTGTTCAGTAGGTAGTCGTCGCTTGGCCAAGCCTTTTTCAGGAGCGGTGGCTCAGCCGAGCCTTTCTCGCAGGAAGGTTTCGAATATGTTAAAAGAAGAAAGAAGATTCTGATAAGCGATCCGTTGAACTACAAAATATTATGACACTTTCCTCTTTGAACAGGACAAGCTGAATTCTTCAGTTCATCGGAGCCGCTTAGTGCTTTGGCGGGTCTACCCGCTTTACGCAGCCACCGTGAATGTGGTCGTCTTGCTTTCCATGCTACTCGAGGCCAGCCCCAACTTCGACTTATGGCTTTACCACCGCTCAACTGTGAGATCGGCAAAAAGAAGCGCATTGTTTTTTCGTAAAGGCCTCAGAGGCTGTCCTTCCCGCATGAAAAATATAATAGCTAAATGACACTTTAAGGCGGAGGGGCGCCACAAGCCAACACGTTGTACACTTTCCCGCGCCCAACTCGCGCCCGACTAGCGTCACCAGACTCGCGTCATCAGACTCGTCAGACTCGCGTCCTCAAAATTTCGTCGTCAAATTCGCGGTGTTTTGCAAAAACTTGCGCTAAATTTGCGAAAAATAGCAAAAATCTCTGCAAAAAAATGAAGGGGGGACCTTTTGTCCTCAGACTCAGACAACGAAACATAAAGATAACTTGATCCAGGAAGCGGAAGAAGGGATTAACTGACATAACCCAAACTGAGATTTTTAGTGGCCGTTAATCTACAGAAAAACTGGCACATTTTTCGAAAAAAACTGTTTGCCTACGTGCCATAGATCCTGAGATATGACAGAATGAAAAATGAGTCAAGTAGACCTATCCCTTCTCACCTCTAGGTTTTACTTGCATAAGGAGACAAATCGAATTGACCCCTTATGAATGATATAGCATTTAGAGATATTTGAAAGATGAGATATCTCGTTTTGTAAGAAATTAAATCTCTTGCCTCAAAACTCAACTAATTTTTTGGAAGTAACTCGACTTATCTCCCTTTACTCAATTTTTTTACGTCGATATCGAATATTCTACCCTCGCCATTTTATCAAGCAGACTTCATAGAAAAAGAATGAAAAATAAAGGTTTAGAACTTTTATGAATTTGTAGCGTAAAACAGTTTTTGGTGTTTCCTGAAAACTTGTGGTTTAGAACTTTTATGAATTTGTAGCGTAAAACAGTTTTTGGTGTTTCCTGAAAACTTGTGATTTTGCAGTTATCCCCTTCTTTCCGCTTCCTGGACCAATTGCTCTAAAACTACATTGTTCCATGAGTTAAAGTTGAGATTAATTAAGGGGGGATCCTAGTGGAACGGGCCTAAAATAGGGGTGTTTTCGGGAATTTTTTAAAAAGAAACTTTTGCTCCGTCCGCTATACCCCTTTTATTGTGTAACAACAACAACAAAAAACAAAAACAAAAAAAAAGAAAACACTCGGAAAGTGTTTCCAATACCCCTCGTGGTCTGCAGATACAGCACGCCGAAGATGGCGCTACGCGCCTGCGGTGGCGTGGTGTTACACTTATCCCGTGTCCTTCCGTTTGTGGCCCATGTAAGAGGAAGGAGATGAGATAAGGTCTGCAAGTTTCAGGGTATCTAAGGGGTCACGCCTGGACAACGAAACGCCTGGTGCAAATCCTGTCAACTACCCCTAAGGGGGTGCAAGGGTAGACCGTCCCACGCTTGCAAATTTTTTTGAGCACACTGGATTACTGTACTGGGCAGATTATGATTCTTTGTCGAAAAATAAAGTTTACGTGTCTGAGGGTTTTTGAATTTTCGATAAATTGGTGGGTGCGCAACGCAAAATTTTTAAAAACATTATTTGTGGGACCTGTGTCTTTTTTTTCAATTTTTTTAATCCAATTTTTGAGCTAGAATGCTCTTCTTCGAACTCAATCTGTCTTTTTATGATACAAAACAAACCCCGAAAATCCCAGGTCGCTAGCTGAATAGGAACGGATGTGAAAAAGAAGAAACCCACTGACTTATCTGCTTCCGTGCACTATGAGAAATTATCATGGTACTGTAGTTTGTTCTGATCCTAACCTTTTAAATATGGAGGGGAGCTCGAAACCGATCTGACAGTTTCTCATACCTGAAAGACCGCGGAGGCACGTGAGTCAGAAAAGTCAGTGAGTTTGTTCTTTTCATACTTCCGTTTTAGATGGCCTGGAACACCCCATGGCGGACAGACAAACACACAGCTAGACAGACGCGAAACTTTTTGATCATCACTGGAGTAATAGGCTTCGCTAATCGCTCAGCCAATAGACCCCATTCAGTCTCGGCTCCGGGAGAAGAAAACAGGAATCCCGACCGGAACCAGTACCTTTATCCTGCCATTTCTTCGCGAGAAAACTTGCAAACCCGACATGAAAAATATCACAAACATTGTGGATTGTGCTTCTACCTTCCAAAGCCATGTAAACGTTAAAATAGCGTTATTTTTCGTAACTGGTTCCGGTCGGGATTCCTGTCTTCTTCTCTTTTAGCCGAGACCAAATAGGGTCTATTAAGAAATCATTTTTTTTTTGCACTAAGGTCGTGGCCAGTTTAAATACCCCCACATAACATTTGTGGCGAAGGGCGTCACTTTCATGTGAAATCTTGACTATTACCCTATTTGAACAATGATACCTTCTTAGCGACCTATAATAATTAACGAGACAAAGAGTACAATTCACTTTGATTTCAGGTACTTTGGCTAATGAAGTGGCTTTTGGGAGTGATGAGCCTGTCATGCTGCTTTGTCGTCGTGTTTACCGTGATGTTTGTGGAGCTGGCCATCCACACGTCTGCAGCTGCGCTACTCGAACAAGTGGGCCACCGCTTTAGTCAGAAGCAAGTAAGTTTTTAGTACTGCACCGACTGCAATGTTAGAAAAATCCACGGAAAAAACACAGAAATGGTCAACTTTTTCCCCAGGACGGTTGTCCAAAGCTGTACCACAGATACGGTACGGAGTGAAAGGCACAGAAAACCACAGACCTTATGTTATACATGATCCGTTCTATTCCGTAAACTTGCTACAGAATTTGAACAAATATTTCCTGTAGCTTTGCCATTTTTCTCCAAACAGAGTATTGTCAAATTAGAAGAATAGCAGACTGAGGATACTTTAGTACCCACTGTAAGTCAAAAATTTTATGTCTTTGGCACTTTAGCAAAGGACTGCAGCGCGCGGGAGATACGTCCAAATTACAATGTGTCAGGGTGGGACACCCCTGACAGCACTAGTGTTTTATACGAGTTGGCGACCGCTCGTGATCAGCGAGCAGCTTAACATCAAAATGAAGAATGCCATCTCCTCCTAGTACGTCTTTGTGCACTCATTTTCACCGAAGTTGCGTCGAAAACCCACTTTAAAAACTACTCTAGCGACCAAACTGTGAAAGATAGAGTCAAACAGATGAAATTTTCGCCAAATGAGTTCTACTTTCACGAGTTACCCCATAAGAGACCATAAAATAAATATTTTATTCCTACTTTTTAGAACAACCCCCATTTCTTTGTTACCCCCTTTCAACCTCTTAGTAGTGAGGTGCAGTTGCCAGGATCTGCAGCAAGCGTTTCGTTGTCCAGGAGTGACCTCGCAGATACCCTGAAATTTGTACACTGTTAAAAAAAATCCTGGGATTTCACGGAGGAACAGTCGTGAAAAGTATTGCCAAAGTCCTTTGGGATTTCCCAAAGAACTTTGTAGATTTCACGTGTCGAGTTTAGCTTCGTAACATGTAGACGAATGAAAACTTTCACCTTTAACATCTGTTTTAGTACACAAAAAACTAAGAACGGAGTCCTCTGGGAATTTCTTATAGTGGTAGAAAGTGAATCTTCGGGAATTCCCAAGAAATTTTTAACAGTGAGACCTCTAGCTCATCTTCTTCCTCTTACACACACGACGGACAGAGAGACCGACGCGGTTGCCTGAAGCTGGTCCCACAATAGCTCCGGTCAGTTCAGTTCAGTACACGTCACTTCTGCCGCGGTATTTACGCAGGGGGATGGGTAGGGTTAATTCTTTTTTAGTCGTCTGATTTTATTTTTGATGTTATTTTTGAAGAAAATTGGCGTTGGCGCGGCGGCGTAGCCAGCCAATATTGCTGTCGTCACTGAAAATGTCCAACGCCAATTTTCTTCAAAAATAACATCAAAAATAAAATCAGACGACTGAAAAAGTATTAAATCTACCCATCCCCCTGCGTACATACCGCGGCAGAAGTGACGTGTACTGAACTGAAGTGAACTGACCGGAGCTGACGGGAGCTAATGTGGGACCAGCTTCAGCCAGCTCTCATTCTCATTTAAGAGCAGAAGGGAGGGCTAAAAAACATTAATAATTGAGATAGCACCGTCTAAATATCGTACCGAACTTGCAATGACACCGTGCATAATCTGGGCGCCACCAGACAACGATTTTCTGGCAGGGATTACATCTGAAGTTGGGAAATCGAAACGGCCAATAGAGAGACCACAATGTTGATCACCAGCTATGCGCGACTTGCGTGCCTAGAAAGAAGCTAGGACACGGGTCAGGTGAGACCCTTTAGACACTGCTAAAAATTCTGTACCCAGAAACAGAATTCAGACAGATCTTACCGCACTTCCATTCCACGGTCAAAATCTGTTCGTCTGGTATTTGACGGATGAAGACTTTACATTGCTCGAAAAGGACTTTCCTCCTGATTAAAGTACGGTGCAAATTACAGAATTACACTGTTTTCAAAATTACCAGCCCATTCTGTAGTTGTTTACTGTTGTAATTTGTAACAGTGGACCCTTCTTCTGAACTGCCTGCCTGTCCTCTACAGGGACGTAAGTGTAGTGTAGTGACAGCCTATGTCATGTTCGAGGGCACGAAGCAGCATTTCGACTGTTTTTATTTATCGGGCATCGGCGGTGCACCTTACTAAGACTAAACCGTGCAAAACGCTAGGCAAGCGCTGACGCGATCGCGGTGAACAATCTAATAACTCGAAAAACGCCTCTCAGCTTGGCCAAACAGTAGAGAGGCGTGTCAGATGGTGGTCTAACCGGGTCTAACTACCGACATCGCCCTATTTGAAACATATGCATCGGAGCGTTGGCGCTACCTGACTTTCTTAATGGTTTTGGTGCGGGCACGATAAAGCTCTAATGTCCACAAAGAAATAACATCGAAAAACACAAAGCTCATGAGTCACCATGTAGAGGACTCGGTTGTGGCATCGTATTATCCACGGCAGTAGAGAAGTAGGGTCCATAGGGTCTCACCTGACCCGTTCCGTTTGTCGTTTCTAGGCGCCCCAGTCGCGCACAGTAGGTCATCAACATGAAGGTCTCTGTTGATAACAACGATTACCCAGCGCAGAGCTAGCGCGCGCTTTCTGCTAGTCCTGGTCTCGCACAGGGTGTCTCCAGCCCCATGGAACACCAGCCGCCAGCTCTGCGTACCTCTGACAGGAGGGCCACTACCCGCACCTGGTGGGCTCAAGAATTTTACTTTTTTACTGATTTCGGCGTCTTAACTTGCAGGGAAAATATGAGACTGTTCGCTCAGTTCGTATACACGTCATGCTCTTAGCAGCTTGTCAGCAAGCAAATGCCATGTTTGGCCTCCTTCTACCCCTGTACCTACTGGGCAGCTACGCCGTTTCCGTGCTTAGCACTGTTTCCGTCGTGCGTGGTGGAGTCACGTCTGACATGTACGGAATGGTTTGCACATCTTACATTTTCGCCTTCTTCGGGCCCATGTGCTTTGCTGGGGAGCGCATTCAAGACGCGGCCCTCGGTTTGTCGACGAGGGTGTACGAAGTAAGGAACGAACTTTTCTCTCTTGATAGATTCTGAGCCAAACCAACGACCGCCTGTGTGGCACTCCAGGCCAATATTCAATTTTTTTAGTCTAAAATATAAACTGCTGGTTTTCAACGGACCCGTTTCTACCACACGGTCCGCGTGCGGAGGGCCACAGCGTCAGGTCGCCGTGTCACGGCTACACGAAAAAAATACCTCAGCTACTCTAGCTGAATGTTAGCTGGCCAGACACTAGCTAAGTTTTAAGCTGTTGAAGCTAATTTTTTTCTGTAGTAGTCAAATATTAGCTGCAGGAACTAATGCTTCCGGATAACAGCTTACCCTGCATGATCCTGTTTGAATGACGCAATTAGTTCTCTGAGCTAATGCGTGGCTACCGCAGAAAATGTTAAGCTGTGAGAGCTGAAAAGTTAATTAGCGCCTGGTTAGCCGACATATTAGCTATCACAGCTAATCAATAGCTTGTGAAACTTAGATTTTTTTCCCGTGGAAGCTCAAGGTGTTGAGGTTGAGGCGCAGGTGTTCCACAAAGATAGCTTTTCTCGGACGCCGAGTTGTCCTGGCTGCTTTACATACGAGTGTGGATTGAATAGAGAAAGTGCTTTTGTACAAATAGGCAAGTAGTCGGGCGGGCAGAACTGCACAGTAGTGCCGACTATGTTTAATGGGCGCCAGGCGGATAATAATAGGTTTACGATAAATAATAATTAATGACAAGGAAATCAGCAAAAGTATCTAAAGAATAGTATGGTTATCCGCCGCCGTCACTAATGCATGGATTTCAAATGGATAAGATTTAAAAGCTTATGCTTAAGGGGGCAGACCTGTGAATTAAAGGGTTTAGGAAAATCGGCACCCTACACGCCGCATTGATTTAGGATTAAAGGTGTATGAAGAGCATAGATGGACGCTAGTTTTGCCGTTGGCGTGCCGTGCGCGCATTTTTCAGGAATATGCCCGTCCTCGCCTACAACTGGATTTTCAGTTTCAACGAAATCGGAGATTTCCACCTGAAAAGTTAACTTCATCGGACAGGTCTCAAATTTGGCACAGTTTCAGATCGAGGCCTGAGCAGCTTTCCTATAAAGTCCATTCAAGCAAGCTTATGCGAGGGGTACACCACTCTTAAAAGTAGGTGTACGCGATTAAAAAAGTCAAGAAAAAAGTCAAGATAAAGTCAAAAAGTCATTTGAAAAGTCAAAAAAAGTCAAATAAAGTCAAAAAAAGTCAATGAAAGTCAACAAAAAGTCAACATGCGAGTGCAATATCTGCCTGTAAGAGGCCAAAAAGCTACGGAACTGTGATTGTATCAGAAAGTCCTAGATCACTGTCTTTTAAAGAGGGAGAGGGGTGGGTGGTGGGTGAAGTGAGAAAAATAAAATAATCGGAATTCATGGGATTTCTTCACCAAAAAACGTAAATACTGAAAATACCTTGCTTTTCTTACTTAGGGGGTGTACTCTGATGACGAATTTTCTTCTTATTCGATTCATGCTACAAATAGTACCAAAAAGTCTTGGAAAAACCTTATTACTAGCCCAAAAATCACAACTCTCCCTTATTTTAAAAATATAGCAGCGAAAAAATCATAAAAGTCAAATAAATTTGATCAAAAAGTCAAAAAAAAAAGTCAAATAAAAGTACAAAAATAGTCAAAAAAAGTCAAAAAGTCACGGCCCAAAAAAATCGACTAAAAGTAGGTGTACGCCCAGAATCGGAGTGATGTACCCCTCGAGCTTATGTCAACTTTTTGAAACACCGCAACCGTGGAGACATTCTAGAGACAGCGCGCAGCAGAAATCAGTGGAAACGCCACAGCGCGCCGCTGGACCCACTCGAACCAAGCGCTTCTCGCTTCAAAAAATGTTTCGGCATTCCCTCGAGGGAGACTCCTTTTCGAGACTTAATCGATACACCTACGAGACACCGCCGGCGACTCGAATATATCCCTACGATGTCTCCTACGCAGCTTTACGTCTACGTTGACTACAATTTTCTGTTCAGAATGTCTCGTAGCAATTTTCATTACGTCTTCAATCTTTCTATACGATGTCTTGACCTGAGACATTCTAGATCTCATTTTTCTGTACGGGGCGGCATGGCCCACAGGAGGACCAACGTCCAAAATAGCTGCAAAAGTAGAGAGGCTTGTTCGCAAGCCGTTGACAATCTACTTCCCTTCTGGGCTCTCGGGGGCATCCCAACCGTGTCAAAACAGCAAGCTATAGCATAACTCGACAAGATAAACAGTGAATGATTGATACTGAAACGCTCTAAGTCTAACCCTACAAATCAGGCAAGGGATCAGTTTGTGGCCAAGCTCGACAAGCTCTTTGATTTTTGCCCTAAAGACGAGTCCAAAATTTAGTTGCAAGAGGACCCAGAGTTTTACCGTTCCAAGAAAAATGACAGGAAATCCACCATGACTCTCATGGATGGCAAGTGGGAAGTGGGTGAAAGTGAGAATCGGCGAAGTCATGAAACAACTGTTTTAATAGAAGCGCTTCAAAGCAGGGAGTGGCAGCTTCAAAGAATCTGGCGGAGGTAAGTCAATAGTTCAAAAGATTGTCACTGAGTGCGTGTTCCTTTCAGATACAAATTTTCGATTCTCTTTTCATAGCAAACCGAAGCAAACCGTCAATGCTACTCCGATCACTGCCGCCCGAGGGGTGATGTGATGTGTTTGTGATGTGATGCGATTTTGATGTGTACACATGACTCCCGAAATACTTGATTCCTAATGTTTCCCGTACTATTCTGGTTCTAATAGATTCCGGGGCTCTACAGGAGTCCTTCCTCTTCGAGATCTTGTCCTGAGCGGGCAGGTGCGAGCCCACGCGATTCTGAGCGGTCCAGCCACCCGGCTGCCCGCAGCACGTTTTGGGCTTCTCTGGGCGCAATTTTTTTCGAATTTCAACACCCGCTTTGCGACATAAGGAACAAGAAAGATCAAATAATTTTTTTAAGGCAATAAAAATCCATTGATTTTTGTTGATGATTTTCACAGGTCTGCCCCCTGAATGCACTTTTAATCCCAAATTGATGCGGCGTGTAGTTTTGATGAAGTGACTATGCTCCCAAACCCTTCTATTCACTGGTCTGCTCCTTAAAAGTTATAACTCGTAACTTTTACTGTAGTGCTTTGGTAATAAGATACGACTTGCGCAACTTTTTTCTACAGCATGCACGATTAATATTGTTTTTTTTATGACAACTTTATGTTTTAATGTGACATGTGTTTTCATTCGTTGACTAACATGTCTTTGGGTTAAGATAAGTTACGAGGCCCAGGTGCTTGATAAGTCCGTGAAGTATTCGCCATGGTTTTTTTATTATATATATGTAAGGGCCCGTGGCCGGAGGAGGACGTCTGCACTCGTCGTACCCGGCTTCAGATAATGGTTTGCTGTGCACGGCCAGCGAGGTTTATGGTGCCGGGCATGCCAGTCATGAATCTGCCAACGTGTCGCCAGGGGGTCCGCAGCTGGTTCCAATTTATACAAGTCCTGATCAACATTCAATCAAGGAAATAGATTCTTGCAATAAATGTTGAGTTAAAGCTTGGTATGAACTCGTATATTTTGACCTGTACATGACAGCCTACAAGAGAAACAAATACGATTAATACATGTCTAATGCCACAGAAAATTACTCTGCGTAACAAAATACAAAATATTTACGTAACATCATTCTACGTTCAAGTGATGGTATTACTACTGTTACACAAACTTCTTTGCGTAACAAATGTTATACCAACTGCTATACGTAACAAGGGTACACTATCTACTACATGAAATAAGCCACAATACCTCACAAATGTTTTAGGATCTACTTTGCGGAACAAATGCTCTGACGTCCAGTTTATGTTACAAATATTATTAATACCATTGATACTACGCCTAGCCTAGCATATCCCTCACATTACCTTTAAAAAATAAACCTGCAGGTCATGTAAAAAAAAAATCTCTTCACAAGAGTTAGACGTTTTTGAGTTCCTGTCAGTTGCGTAGTACTCTCAATACCCTCTTCCTAAACCCTACCATCGCTAGAGAGGTGCTTATCCTTTATCTGGTGCTGTTGGCAAGCCAACAACGCAGTGTAACTAACTTAAATTAACCGTAAAATCACTTTCTTTGCCGCGCGGCCGTGTCAATACCCCGCGCGCGCGTTTTGTCGCTGGAGTCTCACGTTCAGCCGCGAGCGATGCAGTAGCGGCGCCCGAGGCGTGTCTCGGCACCCCTCGGGTGGCGCTCGGCTCGGCGCGCTCGACGGAGCGGTGCGCCGGCAGGGCCCCAGGTCCGGTCCTGGAGCCCTACGCTCGCTCTCACTCGCATCATCCAGTTAGAAGTGTACACATCGTCTCCTCAGCTGACCACCTCGGCTGTACCACTGTACTACTCTGCAAAGTAAGTAACATTATATCGAATGCTCAAAGTGTAACCTCGTGTTCTGCCTTTATCCACATTTCCTGAATAACGCACTCCTGGCAAAGCAAGCAATTAATTCTAGTCACACTCATTATGCACAGACTCACATTAAACTCTGGTCGTAGCTTGGATCTCTGATCTCTTTTCTAGTCACTTGGCCACGTGGTTAGGCCCTAGTCATCCTAACTTTTAGTCAAACACTTAGAGATCCACTACATTTGGCGCAGTCGGTAGGACACGAACCTACGCTCCCACAGGGAAACTGATTTTCGGTATTGGTATGAACAACTATTCAGTGCGAGATGTAGCTTCCTACATGGTGCGCCATAACGCCATCATGGCCACTGGTGTTATCATTAACCCTTTCCCAATGTTGCTATGTAATGAAGGTTTAATACCAGAACTAGAACAACATTGGTTTCGTCCACATTGTAGAGAGGGATTTGCAGTTAAATTATACAATCAATACGTGCGTAATTATGGTATTGGCCAATTCCTATATCACAAGGATGACGTTGTGTTCTCTTATAATGATACTAATGCACCGTATGTGCATTCCCTAGCCGTATTGCTAGAATGGATGACCAACCCAGTGTTTATGCACGACGGTGTGTCTTATTCTGTGCAGCTTGAGCTGGTAACTAATAGACTGTTTAAAGCTACTCTTACCAATCTTTGCACTGCAAAACGCAATCTGCTTGCCGAACACTTCTACACTTTCCCAAATGGCTTTGACCCTAATACGGTGGTCGTGACTTCAATTATTATAGACACTTTTGTCAAGGATAATGGTAGACACAAAGGATTCTATCGCAGGATTGATCTGGTTGTGCCGTCCGCGGTCTATAACAAGTCTCTTTCATTTGCAAAAGGATCGAATGACCCTGATGGTAAGAAGTTAGCCCGCTACCTGAGTTCCATCACTTCAAGAATGTTCATTGGCACTAATGAAATTGCAGTGAATGAAATGGATGTCGATCACATGATTGCATTATGGTTGGCCGTTAAGGCTACTGTTTTCCGCACTATTGGCAGAATGGGGTATGTAGAAAAGAACATCATCAAGGCCGCTCAACAAGATAGTGGTGCCGGATGGTTCAGGCGTCTAGGTAATGCCATTTGTAAGTTTATTCATTTTGACAATGACCCAGATCAAGATTGTGATGAGAATCTAAGTAAGTACTTGCACAAGGCTGGGGTCACTGATATGGAAAAATTTAAGAAACAGCCCATGGAAATCATAAAAACAATTGTTGATCCCTGTGAGTGGGTTCGAGGAATTTACAAGGTCGTGCGATTTCTCTACAGAATGGATGTGGAACTTAATTCTGATGAATTTGATTTCATAGGCGTGCATGTTCCCCCAAAGAAGATCACATATCGTAAGAATGGTATGAATTACGTGGCTGACATACAGCACGCGGAGAGAGAGGGAATTGAACAAATTTCAGCATTGCTTCAAGGGAGGTCCATTGCACGACGTGATGCACCAAGCGAGGGCACTGTGAGAGTTGTGTTACAGACACTGAAGCAATTGGGTAATCCCGAATTGCAGACTAATGAACAAGTAGAAGACAGAGTGAAGTCAATCTGCTTGGGAGCTCTGGGTGAGGAAGCCGGTTTTTCATTGAAACACTGTCCTGAAACACCCGGATTAGAATATGTCCCAGTCTCGGGAGATGGTGATTGTCTGCTTAGCGCCGTAGCGCTTAGTTCAGGACACACAGTAGATGCCATTAAGAAATTCCTCAAGATTGAAAGAACACCTATCTGTGGTTGGAATATCGGTGAGCTGATGAACAAGATTAAGAACTAGCTATATGTACGCCAGACCACGTCTCGCGTAACAGGCTTCGCGATATCTCACGAAACACTGTTACGCTGCGACGCGCCTGGCGCACATATAGCTAGGCCTGCGGCGCTGACACCCGAGACGAGTTAAAGAGAGGGTATAGGGGAACAGGGCCTTCCGGGCCCAAAATTTGACATACTGGAACCATTTGTCGAGGTCTTTTTACTCTAAAATTAGGGACATAAAACTTCTGCTGTTCCGTGACAATTTTCATTAAAAGTTCGAATTTTCACAGATTGTTATGTAAAAATCAACGTTTTAGTGATACTAGATAATCTAGGCTAGGGACGCTTCAGCCCAAAAGAGGGTGTGGTTCGTCCCTAAATGTGTGGTTTAAGTATTGTTCCCTTTTCAGTTCTGTGCCATGGAGTCTTTTTTACGATTTATTAGACCATTTGGTCTTTTTCACCTTGTTTTCGCCAAGAAATGAGCCATAGCGCCAAAACGGTTCAAGATAGAGCAAAACGGACGAAATTTTCGCCCAAGGGGTTCTACTTTCACGAGTTACCTCTTAGGAGCCCGTAAAAAAATATTTGAAAAAAATTAATATTTTGCAACCTTTAGTTTTTGATTTTTTAAAAAGTCAATTTTTGAGCTAGAATGCTCATCTTCGAACTCGATCTGTCTTTTTATGATACAAAACGACCCTGAAAATCCCAGATCGCTCTCTCAGTTCATTCTCGAGTTATCGTGCGGACAGACAGACAGACAAACAAACAAACAAACAGACAGACAGACAGACAGACAAACAGAATGAAACTTTTCTGGTCAGTGGAGTAATGGGCTTCGCTAATCGCTCAGCCAATGAAATGCACATCCCAGTTTGCGTCCACTACGGTGACAAAGGTTTTTGTACCAGGTACGGACGTGGCAGGTATGTTCATGTTATTGTGTACAAACATCATGCGGGGGCTCTGGTATCAAAAAATCGCCTTTCAGGAGACGTCATTGCTGCACCCTTTTCTGGACAAATGGACGGAGGCAAATCTTTTGAGATGCAGCACCGCATTTCAGAGGTCATTAGTGAATTGGAGAAAAAAGAATTAAACATTCTTTTCATAGGCCGACCAATGGTGCCTGTGTCTTTCCTAACTAGATGGAATATAAGGAAGTTGGTCGTATTGACGAGTTCTGACACTGAATACTCACAATGTCAGCAATACTATAATGCTGAGAAGGCTTCCTACGATGTAATCGTATGCTCTGAGGTTTTGCCCGAGAAAGTGAGATACGATGTCATTATCAATCCTGCCTCACCTCTCAATTCAACAGGCAATGGTCATATCTTGGCCAATCTGAGTTTAGTTTACGTGGATGCCCTGGCTGAAAATGGTGTGCTGATGTACGCTATTACTGTGTCGAGTGGTTAAAGGAGCATTGCACAGGTGACAGGTATGCATACGGCCCCCATGAAATTCCTCTGCCTGCTGTTTTCAGCTGTAAAGATGAATTGCTGATGCCGACCAAGGCCGGTCCCATTGCACTGGTGACTACTGGTGCCCTACTGGAGCTAGGATGGGCCGAACTATACAAGGATCCTCAAGAAGCCTTTCGCGTGGCATACCTTTACCAAAATGACCATACCACAGATCGTCTCCAGGGTGCTGAAGTGGCTCACCCCAAACTGTGTCCAAGGACCGTCTTGGCCGAAGCAAAAGGAGCGGGGTTGGAGTTTTGCACCAACTGGTTGTCCACGTATATGGCTGGTACAGCTTTTGTGTGCGCTGCCGGTGGTACCGGGTTCTTGAGTGATTTGATGACTGCCTTCGATGCCCGCTCAGAGAAGGACGAAGAGTATAATGGTTTCCACTATATCAAGACCAAACAATACATGTTGGCTGGTACCATGAAGCCTTTTGATGAGACACCCGCCGAAGAATATATCAAGTTGATCAAACATGTGGGACTCAGAGTCATGACTTTGTGTGTTAGCAGAGAAGACCTTATACCCTACGGAACAAAAGAGCTTGACGGAAGTGTCGTCAAATTCATCGACACCTTAAAAAAA